TGAGAATCGACGGTAGGCGGCCAGACAGGAACGGCAGGCGGCCGCCTGCTGGACCGCCTGCGGCGGCCGGGATCCGCCGCGATCCGATCTGACGGCGAAAAGACGGTAGGCGGCCATTTTTTATGGAAGGCGGCCGCCCTCTGTGGCCGCCTACGGCTGACGGAACCGGCCCACGAACCTTTGCCGGCGACAGGACGGCAGGCGGCCAGATGCCGACGGAAGGCGGCCGCCTGCGTGGGCGCCTTCGGTGAATTTTCTGCTATAAATAGCAGGCTTTTTCCCCATCTCAAACACACCAATTTCAAGCCCAAATCAGATCAAAAAGGGCGTCTTCTTCCTCCTCAAAGCTCGGATTTCCACCATTGTTGCACCTTCAACTTCAATCTTTCATATCTTTCTCATTTTAGTTCCAAATTGTGAGTTCTTTATATGTATTTTCATCCTTTCAATGATTAGAATCTGAATCTGTACTTAGTTTTTTCTATATGTGCTTCTAAAATTTTCAGAAAATTATTCCACTATTTCGCATTTTCTTCTTAAATTTGAATAAAATAGTTGTTAACATTAAATCCATTCCAATTAATTATATAGTTGTTTACCAGCCTCAAGGTAGTTATTTATCAAAACAAAGTTAATTTTTATGAAGTAGAAGTAAATTTTAATTAATTCCGGCATTTAGTTGTTATTATTGCATAAATTAAATTAAATACTCAAAAAAGGCAAAAAATTAGTTTCTGTCCTAATTCCAGTTTAATTCACAGTAATATCACTCCTAGTAGTCAATATAAAATTTAGAACTAATTTAGAATATTTGTAGTTGCTTTTTTTGTATTTTCTAGTTAATATTGGGAAAATTATCAATTAGTTGTTAAAATTGGATTTTAGGTTATAAAATTCGGGAAAAATTCCAGAAGGTGATATTTTAGTTCTACAAGTTTATTTTGGCAGAATATTATTTTGTTTAATTTTCTCTATTATACATGCTTAATTCCTTGTTAATGTTGAATTTATTCATTGTATTGTTAAATGAAAAAATGATGTTTATTAGCTAAATTTGTTTTGGGCATGAATTGACTAAAGGAATATGGATTGACTTGTTGACCGAAAATTAGGGATTAAAATTAATAATTTGGACTAGTTGTTTGAAATGATGAAATAGTAATTAATAATTGTTAGCTATATTCATTAATTAAATTCTTGGAAAATTATCTCTAACTTGTCTATGAGAATAGAAAATAATTTAAGCCAACCATATTCGAGCACATTAATAAGGCCTAGAAATAGGATAATTTAATGAAAGAGATTTACATCTTGTCTATGAGAGATAAATTCAATTGCTTAAATAATGAGTTTAACTAGTTAATGAATTTGGCTATTTTTATTAATTAAAATATTGGAGAATTATTTCTACCTTGTCTATGAGGTTAGAATTTAATTCAAGCCAACCATTTTGAACACATTAATGACACCTATAAATAGGATAAATTAATGAAAATAGTTTCTATTCTTGTCTATGAGGAAAGAAATTATTAGTCCAATTTTAGTTTTAATTTCCCTAATTACTAGGTCCAAGAATATATCCATTTCTAATTACTCAATTCATTGCCCTTATTTGCATCAATCCATTTAAGTCTAATATTATATTTTTTCCTTTAGTTTATTTTTGAGCCATCATTAGTATTTGCACAATTTAATTTACTTTCTTTTCCAAAAAGTAGTTTAGAAAATCAATCAAAAGTTTTAATTTGGAAAGCTTCCAATAATTTGCGATAACCTGTGACTGGACTTAAAATCAAGAAGCTCCTCCGCCATTCCTCGAGAGACACGATACTCGGGGAAAAACCGAAAGGTTAGACTCCGTTTTACTACAACGCCGCGAAAGCGGTTATCACCAGACCAGACCAGACTCAAACAGACCAGATCAGACTGGACTTAACTTTTGTAATTATAAAATACACAGAGACCAGACGTTTACCAGACCAGACAACACTTAAACAGATCAAACCAGACCATACCAGACTTAAAAAGATCAGACTAGACTAGCAAATTACAGTCCAAGTAAAAACATCCTAATTGAGAGCTTTTACAAGCTTTTTGAACAATAGAAAAGGTAGAAATTAAGGTTATACTTATGCTATCAAATATGCGCTTATTTCAATGTTCTTAAAAGAGTTGTGTAGTACTTCATATGTGATCATGAGCGTCGCTGAGAGGGGGTCAACTCCGTGCCCTGACCCACCGCAATTTTAGCAAATACGCATATTATTACATGAAAAGTGTGGTGAGGAATCACTGAAAAATCTATATAGATAAAAAAGATCATGGACATATCTGCGATCATATATAGGTTTATGAGGGAGAATAAGCACATTTCAATTTCATTTTGGCAGAAACAATACTTTACTAAGTTTTGATTTCACACGGTTAACACTAATTCTGGTGCTTGTAACATAATGATAAAATTATTTGGAATAATGTCAAAGATAGGAAATGGGAGTCTCCCAAAGACAGAAATAAGATGAGATTCCCGTTTGGACAGATATGAGACTAATCGAGGTGTAAAATGTCTCCATTGCTTATGGTGTATTTCCTCATCCATCCCTGTGAGTCTTATGCGTCGAAGGGGACCATCAACCTGCGAGTCTTAGGCGCCGAAGGAAACCAGACAACCAGCATTAAGCAATCTCAGCAGCCGACTCCACCGACTTGAACTCCTCATCGTCGTCGCCCCCCTTGTCTTCACCACTGTCGCTGACTCCGTTCTAATCTTCTCCTTTTCTACTCTTTATGTCCGATTGCGATCTACTATGGTTTGCGGGTACGATGATTCAAATCGCTGCTCTACCACCTCCGTTGCAAGTGTGCGGGGGGCTGGGCGTGGTTTGGGTGAGGCAGTGGTTGTACATGGGCTTGGGAGGGGGCTGGGGGGCTGGGGAGACTGCTGGATTAGGGAAGGGGCTTGGGTGGGCTGGTCACTGGCAGTGGTAGGGACCGGTCACTGATGGATTAGGTCACTACTCCGTATATCCGTATAATATAAAGTCACTAGAGGTTAGGGTAAATTAGTAAGTGTAAGGCTTATTAGTCACTTTTTTGAAAATAAAAAAAATACTATTTTGTCCATGCTAATTTTGCAATATTATGTAATATTTATGACATATCACTCATTATTAATTGTAGTACTCTTATGACTCACTAGGAGTTACATGAAATCCAGAAATTAAAAACCTTGTTAAGTTATCAATGTTTTCAGGGTTTTCAGTTTTATTAGTCATTTTTTGTGAACTGAATTGCTTAATAAGAAAGAGTAAAATTATAGTCACTTGTCTAGCTATTGATTAAAATTGCTAAAGAGAACTATTATACCTAAGAATGACAACGGAGGCGAGGGCTACCCTGATGGAGAGAAGTGGGGTAGGTGTTGGGGAAACAATTTGCTGCATGTCCCCGCTTATATATGGCGCGGGTGATGAGTTGTGCACCCCCACTCATGTCCCCGCATATGTACACATAATGATGATGATGCTACTGATGATGTTGATAACAATAACAACAAAAATAATAGTAATAGTAATACTAATATTAGTCATAATAATCCTAATACAAAATTCTAATAAAAATAATAAACTAATGAAGATATTGATGGTAGGTCTATTGTCTAGTTTGAAGACTTTTGAACTGTATCTATCTATTTTTTGAACCCTCTCTTAAAGGGTCTTCAAGACTATAATCCTCTTCAAGAGTTTATCCACAATGACTAAATCTATTGAGTTTTTGAAGACGTGTGAATTATAAATTAACTTTACTTTGTCTATGTGTTAGTGCTATAACATTATTACAATATAAAGAATGATTGCAATAAATCTTTTGTTTTGTTTGCAAGTAACTATATACTACGTATTAGTTAAGCTTCAAATTTTTTTACTCCGACTATATTATTTAATCTAATTTTGACGAATATTCCCCTCGTTAAGTATCCACATGTGACACGTCTAGGGGGTCGGGGCTGTGATTGGGGCATTTTTAGACACGAAGCGGGCCCGGGGGGGGGGGGGGGGGGGGATGGGGGAGTGAACCCCCGCCTCATTGCCATCCGTAATCATACCAATTATTTAAATAAGTTTTTTATTTTATTTTATTGGGGTTTTCTCTTAAATATTACTCCTTTCGTCCCTTTTTATTTAGCCAACACTATTTTCCAAGTCAATGATGTTCAACTTTGATTGATCATATATTTATACACGGTAATATTGATAATATGAAAATGAGATGAAAATGTTCTTTGTTAAAAGTACTATCATAAAAGTATAAGCTCATTATGTTTCACATAAATATATTAGTTAAAATAATGGATCAAAATTTATCATCTTTGACCGAAAAAGTAAAAATGACTAAATAAAAAGGGACGGAGATAGAACTATATTAAAGTTGATTTTCATGACCGCTCTTACATGTGTAAAAAATGAGACTAACAAGGTAATAAGTTCAAAAGTCATGATGCCATTGTCAGTTTGTATGTCATTGTCAATGACCACTAGTGTCATTGTAGTTGTGATCAATCTTTCTGATCGTTGTGAAACATCTTACTGTGATTGTAACCAAATTCCCTGACGACTATTCCTGTAACACCGTTTTCAAGCATATTTACTTTTGTGTAAATTATGTATTGAACCTAGAGAAACGATTAATGAATTTGCGAGGTTGTAATTTTTTTTTATTACTTTTGCGTGAATAGTAAATTGCAGGTGGGGCCCACACTGAGAGTGGGACCACCCGCTATTTCTGGGTACCACATATTATATTCATCTTGGTCTAGATAATCTTCTACCATCTTATAAACATGAATAATGTTAGGGTAAATTAGGTAGGAAAAAAATGTTGGTGGAATCATGTTGCTTAATTGGGGTGCACATTGATTTCTAACCCTTGTACTCTTTAGAGTTTGCTTATCTTTCCATTTAACTCCCGTCTCCCAGTGTTTCCATCTGTTTAGGCTAACTGCTTTATCTTCCGTTTTCTCCCTTATACCAAGCTCCTGCCCTTTGATTTCTCTCCTAATTAATGGTTCCAATAATCTTCCTATTCAATTCCCAAATTCAATATGCTTGTTATATATACTTGATCTCCATTCGTTCGAATTGGCTATTCCAAATGAAGTTTTTGTGTTTAAATGCCGATGGCTTCACTGGCCTCCATCGTTTCATCTAGATCGACATCTCATCAAATTTTGAATTTCGTATTCAATTCTCCTATCGATCTCTCTAGAGGTATATTCAATTGAATCACAAGAATTATATTACTATTAGCCGTCTCTCCCTAGCAGGTCTAGGGTTTGATTATTCCTTAGCAGATCTAAGGTTTGGTTCTTTCTGCCAGTGAATCCCCTTCACCTGTGTCCGGCGCTGGGATTGGATTTGAGGCAGATTGACAATAATCCTTGCCCTAGCTTGATGACATCGAAGCCAGAGTTCGGCAATCGATTTCTTCGTGAGCAGGGTAGCAAGGGCATGACAGCGATGAAGATGACCGTTAGCGGTGGATTTGCCACGAGCTCAGAACGAGGAGAGTTGCACGGATTTCGAGCAGACCAGAAGATGATTGATAATGGAAGATCAATTATAGTGGTACCAAGGATACGGCCTCCTAATGAACCACCGCCATAGGTTGTGCGAGATGCTAGAGCCCGTGAAAGTTTTCCAATAAGTTTTCATTATTTTATCATTTGGTTTCTTGTTATCGTTTATGTTGTTATGTTTGTCAGTTTGTTTGGGAATTTAGCCTTGTTTGATGTCATTGAGCATGTTTGGATCTATGGGAATATGGATGGGTGTGTCAAACCCGTTACATGATTAGCGATTCGTGTTGCTCTTTCAGGGGTGACCGTTCCTAAAGCTCATCATAGGGTTTACAGTCGTAGTTGTTGGAGTCTAGTTGGTGTCAGGTTTTTTTTCCTTTGATTGATCTCCAACTCCGTCTACTCGAATTCTTCTTTGTTTCCCAAATCTAATAAAATATCTTTCCGGATGAGTCGGCATTATGGAATATGGATGGTGGAAAGTCTAGGTCGGTCTAAAAATTGCTCCCCTTCTTGGTTTGTAAAGAAAATTAGATCCCTGTGAGAGTGTGAGCGGCAACAAAGACGACAGAGAAAGTGAGTTTCTACCATGAGCTTTCTCTAAGCTATTTCATGATAGGGATAGTCTCAGATGCTAACAGTTCCTTTTGAGATCAAGCAAGGAGAAAAAAAAGTTCGATCTCAGTATTGTATTATGTTTTTACTAATAGAAGCAGGGGATGATCACTCCTTAAAGTAGTTGTTCCAAAGAAATAATAAAACATGGTTTGTTTGAATGATTATGCTTAGGCTATAAGACTTAGATTAGTCTTGATTATTGATTATGATATAGACCCTATCTAGTATGATATGTGGTAGATCATAGGGCGGGTGGAGCACCCAGGGATCGGGCGTGTGTCCTCAAAACTCGGTTATGTTAGGTGGAGTACTCAGGGATCGGGCGTGTATCCTCAAAACTCGGTTATGTAGGGTGGAGTACCCAGGGACCGGGCATGCGTCCTCAAAACTCGGATATTAGGGGTGAAGTATCCAGGGCTGGGCGGTGCCTAAAACTTGATATTACCGGAACAGTGGTCCGGTGGTTGAGAAAGGCTATCAACACTCGGTTATATAATAAACCCTATGTTATAGCGGGAAAGCTAAACAGCGGGTCGATTATGGGGAAAGTCAAGGACTAAATCGTCCATTATTTTATTGATTTGATCAAATGACCTATGGGTCGGATGTTTTCCAAGCGTATATACTTGTATGTATTTCAGAGACTTGGGGAAGGTTATAAGCGTATGTATCACTCTATGTTTAGGTCTTATACTTGAAACGTTAGTCCTTATACATTTAGTATGTTGCTCGCTTGGTATTCGCGTACTGACCCCTTCCACCATTTCAGGGTGAAGCTAAAGCTCGCTGTCCGTACCTTTGCTCAGTGAAGTGATCCCAAGGAAGACGTGGTTCGTGCTTCCTTTACTGTATTGAAACTATAAGCTATGTTCAAGGATATTTTGTAATGAATACATTGTTTTGGGCCCGCAAGCCCACATTTTGACCATATGCGGCCCATTGTTGACTATTGAATATTTTCGCTATGCAATCAATCTAACTTGTAATGTTGTTATGGTATGTTTACTTACTGAGTATGATATGAACAATGTGGACGGGTGCGTTGTACAATCGAGTGAGTGTGACTCACAAGAGACGTCGCTTGATTGTACAGTGGTTGTACACGCGCTTAGGGCATCCTCATTGCTTGGATTATTAAGAGATAAATTAATGACATGACTGTTTTTTAGAGAATCATCAATGAGTGGCATAAATTATTTAATGAGATTATTTGCTAGAATAATCCGGTATCAAAATATGAATCCGGATTATCTTAAGATTATTTGAAAAGCATATGTAATACACCAATGCAAGATCGAGAAAAAAGCGGATAATTTGAAGATGATGGTTGGGAGGCACAAATGGATTTTGAGAGTATTTAAAAATTAATTATGTAACAATATTTAAAAGGTAAGAATGCTAGAAAATATTGGTTTTAAAGATTATGAATGGTGATTGATGTGTGTTTTCTCGCACTTAAAATAGATCGTAATATAGTGGTGTAAGTACGAGTATCGTCTCCACAGGGACGGACAAAAGGGAATCAAGAATTAATTAAATTCAGCGATTAAAAGAAATAAATAAAATAAATGCGTCGTGCGAGATATGATTGGTTAAATAAAAATTAAAACTAATGCAGATGAGCGATTAAAATAAATGTGGTTTTCTTATTAACTAACGACGAAGGGAACATGGATTGATTCCGGGGTAACCAGATTTCTGGCAGATCAGGCCTAATTACACGAATTTAATTTAATTGAGCCTAGCTAATCATTACTAAGTTCTTACCGCTCTCGCGGCGTAGAGTACAATAATTTAGGGGACCAGGCTGATCTCTCATGCGACAGGATCCTAAATTATTGTCAAGACGAGCGAGCTTACGGCCCCTTTATCGTTACGAATCTCTTAGCGAACGATTAAGTGTGTGTGAATGTGTCCTAGAACAAATTAGATCTCTCTTAATTCATTCTACATGCAATTGTAATTCTAGTTGCAGTCTAGGTTACAAAAGATATCAGTTAAATTATTCAAACACAAATTAAACGGACATTCATGCAATTAAACCGAAATGAATCTAGCCATCAATCATGATTAACCCCTTCATCAACCCCAAATCCCTAATTAAACTACTCACAGTTCATAATTGAAGAATCAACAGAATTGAGATGAATAGAATAAATTGTCATTAATTAAAAAGGTGAGCTTACAAATAATCCCAGGGTCTTGGAAGAAAATAGCGTAAAAACGGTGTTAAATTCGTCCCTAGGCCTCTCCGTAATGTTTGTAACCCCCAAACGGGGTTATGGAGGCCTTATTTATAGAAAACAATGAATTCGGGTCGAATTAGGACCAATCGCGGCCAGGCACGGTGCCAGGCACGACCGTGCCTGTGACCGTGCCTGCGGAAGAAGCCCGAATTTTGCGTCCAGGCACGGCGTGCCTAACTGCCAGGCACGACCGTGCCTGGCCTCCAGTAGCTCCCAGGTTCTTTTCTCTTCAGGCACGGCGTGCCTAACTCCAGGCACGACCGTGCCTGAACTTATTCTTCATTTTTTCTTTGTTTTCTTTCTCCAAACGCTCCCGGATGCCTACGAGGTCGATCCAAATGCTCTTTCTTCATCAGAATTTCGTCGTGAATCTCCCGCTGGCCTCCAAATCTCTCAAATCTTCTTCAAATGCTTCCAAACTCTGCCCGATTGCTTCTCAAGCGTCGATTGCCGGACTCCAACTTCTTCAAATCAACTCCAATTGCAACGAAACTCGATCCAACGCCTGCTAAACACAACTTGAGCCAAAATTGAGACTTGCAACGCCTTAAAGCTAAGAAAACCATCAAAATCCGACCCGAACACGCATCAAATGCGTGTCTAAATACGAACTTATCAGTGATGCTCTTAGATGCGGTCTGAGGCGTGACAATTCCGGTGAAAATTCAAAAAAATGGGAGACAGGGAATCAGCGAACTTTTCCAATGACCAGTGGTAACTGTCGGAAAGCGTTGCTGGAGGAAGCAGTGTGGCATGAGTGGATAGTTGGGTAGGAGTCAGAATTAAAAGAAAAGTATAGCAATTAAATAAAGATTAGTCACATTTTTAAAAAATGAAAACTGGTCATATGCTTTGTCTTCTAAACGTGTAGGTAATGTTTTTGTCTTTTTCCTTATTTTTATTATAAATAAAGGAAGAATTCTCTAAATATAACTAAATAAAACTTTAATTGTCAACATAGACCATAAGTTAAAAATACCCTAAGTAGGACTAGCTTTCCCATTCTACTCTTGCTTTCTGTTAATACAATTCATGTTTCATTAATAATTAAAACATAAACGTAATAACATAATTTTATTTATAATAAAAATGTAAAAAAAAAGAAATAAATATTAAATAAAAAATCCATTTTTAAACTTAAAAAATTATAATAAAATAAATAAATAATGTTAAAAATATAAAAAAATATCTAGGCCTATGTTGTCGGCTCAACAACCTTCCAGCACCACCAGTTCCGACCACTGGAAGAAAATGCCAACATGTGTCAAAATTCCATCTTCATGGCAGCTTTCAAGAAAATTTTGACATTTTCAAAGAAAAAATGACAGTTTTTACACAAAATGACAATTTTTAGCCGATTAGAGATAACATTGTTCGGCAGTGGCCTAGACCGTGGGATAGGCCTCCATATATATTTTATTTTTAATGTGTTTTATCTTTTGCTATTATTTATTTTTAATGTTTTTTTTTGTATTTTAGTCATTTTAAAAATTTAGAATTTTTTGAATTTTTTTTCGATTTGTTTTGTAAGTTTTTTTTAATACAGATTAAAATATGAGTGATGGATAGTGTACCCAAGGGTAGCTTATCAGAGGGATTTTATAAGAAATATCTAGAGAGAAGTCGGAGCAAACAAGTAAGAGAGAGAGTCAAATTACAATAAATGAGCTCGATGATCGTTACAAAGGGAAAAGAGGCCGCTATTTATAGCAGCCGTAAATGTTATACGCGTACACGTGTCGATCATCATATGGTAGAGAGTCACTTCAATCGGGGTGACACCGGCATTTGCATGTGGCACCACATTAAATGCGGTGGTTGGACGTGACACCACATTAAATGCGGTGGTTGCCTATCCTTAGGAGGAAGCTTCGCAGAGCGTAGACCCTTCGGCTTGGGACCGTATGGCCGAAGGCTAGGTATGCGTACCGAAGGCATCCTGTGGCCGAAGGCTATTGCTATAGTCAAAAATCTCCAAGCATCTTCGTAAGCCCGAACACAGATGTTTCCTGGAGTTTGGAGCCTTCGGCCATGGAGCCGAAGGCACCGTCGTGTGTATTGTGGGCTCCTTTATGCTTGGGCCGCAGTATTGTGGGCTTCGTGTGCTCATTGGGCTTATTAGGCCTGTTTAGGGGAAGTTGGAGTATGTGGACCGGGGGTCTTTGGATCATATCAGGGGCGGAGCCAGGACACTGGGCCGGACTGGGCCGGTACAAAGAATATTTTTGGGAAAAAATTTAAACGGAATTTTTTACACTAAAAATATAGAGATTTTTAAAATTTAGGCTGGGCCAGGGCCAGGGGTGGCCACCCCCTAGCTCCGCCCCTGGATCATATACTCCACCAATGATTATCCTATTAAGTTATGGTTATGGTAGAATAGAAATATAGGAAGATAAATAATATAGTCCTATTTGTATATTTAGAGATTTGTTTAGTCCTATTTAGGTCTATTATCTCTAAAATAATTTTTAATATACATTTTGCATATAAAATTTAACAGATTCATCTGATTCCAATATTACTCTCTCCGTCCCATTTTACCTGTCCTACTTTTCTTTTTGGGTTGTCCCATAACAAGTGTCTCATTTCCCCCCTTTGGAAAGAAACATGTGGCTTACACCATTTCACTTTATTATACTCAAACGTCAACCACAACTTTTAATTTTTCAATCACTTTATTAATAATTGTGTCAAATCAAAGTGAGACAACAGTGGTATCACTTCGTATCAAATAGGCTTTGAATGTACTACGGAGTACTACGTAGTAGCTAGTGTGTGGGCTCTACTAAGGTTCACCAATGATCATCTCACCAACGTAGAGGTTGAGTAGACAACAAGGACGACCATAATATTCACTCAATCTAGACACGATAGGCGAAGCGTGATTTTAAGAGTTAAACTCGTCATAGCGCAAGATCAGCTCATGAGGGTCTAAAATCGTACTATAGTCCGTCTCTATTTAATCGTAACATATTAAATTTTACACTATTCACATGTTCTACTTTAATTACATTTTATATTATTATTTTATGATTTTTTTTTTTAAAATTATATTGTTCAATTCATCTCATTACAAATTTTTAAAATCTAATTTTTAAATATTTTTTACTAATAGAGATTAAAATATAATTATGGTCAAAGATGTGTGTTGACAAGTGTGAAATGTTGACTGTTGCAACTAAAAAAGAACGGATGAAGTATAATCAACGATGCATATGAACATTCCAAATGAAAGTTAATTAAATTCTTGTCAACATTGTGTTAGACCATTCGAAGTGGAAAGGAGTGTTCAAAGTTCAACGTCCTGTGGGCTGTGGGTGGCAAACAGTGTTAGAAATCTAATACCCAAGCTCATATTTTGTCATATCATGGGCCGAATGTAATCCAATTGTCCCTCCATTTATAATTTTGCCATAGCATATCCAGGTTTTGGAGTAAAACGGGAATGAACTTTTGTCAATTTCAATCCTTCCACTATTGTCGGTCACCGACACTTTTGGTACTTCACTTTTGATTTTTTTCATTTTTAATCATCGACTATCCGATTAGAGTAGATACGTTTAGTTCTCGATTTCAATGTTTCTCAGATTTAGTCTCATTTACTCCCTTGATTATTTTCAAATTGATACTTTTAGACCTTCCACGATGACTTTCGCACAATAAGTGAATGATTAAAAATATCAATATTATAATAATTGAATGACCAAGAGCTGTCGCTTTTATGAAAGTAAAGGACTAAATATGG